GTGAGTTATTGTGTGATGGATGAGGGTAAGTGGTAGGGGGTGGGGAGGGATGGTTTTGATGAAGATGTTGTTGGGGCTACTGGAGGGGGGAGCGGGAGTGGTGGTCAACCGTGAGTTGGTGTGTAACCAAGAAAAAGGACCCACTGAAAGGGCAACAACTCGGTCAGCTTGGCACTAATTACAACAAAACTTCGGACTGGTAACCTTCAACCGGGGGGGGGGCATCATATCTATCAATATATGAAGAAAATCAATCTGCATGTTTAAGCAGAGGCGAAGTGTTTACATAAATCAAATAATCACTGATTCTCATCGTCATTTTGGAACATCGTCGCCGTCAAATACACCCATAGACGTAAACCTTGTAAATTTAAATCATAATTTAGATTTGCACACGGCAAGACTCAAAATTGTTAAATTGTATCAAAATACCCTGTTCACCCCTTTCGGGCCACTTTCATAAGCAGTCACAAGCACTGATTATGCAAAAGCTATCTTTTGGATTGGTGGAGTCTACCTCAGAACGATGAGGGGGGCTTAATCCTAATAACCTCGTGGCTTCTGTGAGTGCTTATTTTGTTTTATTTTATTTTATTTTATTGGAGGGGGGGAGTGTCTTAGCTTTCTTACCGCTCTAAAATCACGTCTCGATTGTGGTTTCCTGGCTACGAAAATCTAGCCTCACAAAGAAGGCCAAATTTGAAACCAAATTGCTAATACGTAATTTGTAGTTTTGTCATCTCTGCTTTTTTGCTTTCATTAATGCATTCACGTCTTTGATTAAGTTTACTGCTGAAGAGCTAGAGACCATTATTCCCACCACCGAGTGTTTTAAAGTTATAATTACGTTTTGTCCAAAGAAATGAGAAATTGTTCTCGATTATTTTGGCGGGTGACAATGCAATAATAATTATAATAATATATATTCAGGATTTGTTTTCCTTCACAACTGAGTGATGCCGCCTCGACAAAGAAATTGTGGGAAAGTTTTTCGTGTGTAGTCTCACTTCTACCTGACTCTTTGTCTCATTTTGATTACCCTTTCAAACAAACCAGTCTTCACCCCTGTGTTTAAGAAATAGCGGGATTTAACCATTTCAACCATAACAAAACGCTAAACTTCTCCTCTTTAAAGTGTTCAGCTACAAGGGCGTGATCGATCCGTTCTTGCTTTAGAACAAGAACAGTAAAAACCATGCCCGTCACATCAGATGGGTATCTCACTGAGAAGAGAAAGTATATAGGAGGTTTAGGAAGGAGAAGGAAGGTATTTGTTGTGGAGGAGGCTTGGTTCCAGCAGGATGGGAGTCGCACTTTATACGTCAAGAGTCGAACATTTTAACCGGTATTTCGCCTCAGTAAACAGGGCAAGCAGACTAACCGAGGCTGAGAGACTCCTATAAGCAATGCTAAGCACGAAGAAAAAGCCCCCAACCATGAACAACACTCTTTTTGAAAAGACTTCATCATGATGGAACTCAGACAGGCCCTCAAAAAGTTAAAGCAAAAGAAAGGCCCAGGACCAAATACACAACGAAATGCTGCGCAACCTTGGCGCAAAAGGAAACGATGTTATACGCCGCCTAGTAAATACCACATGGAGAACGAGCGGGATACCAAAAGAGTGGAGGATCGCCTAGGTCATACCGCACGTGAAGAATGGGAAACCACCTGGAGAAGCAAAGAGCTCTCGACCTATATCACTGACATCATGTATCGGTAAGCTTGCCGAAAGAATGGTTAACAACCGCCTTTACTGGTACCTGGAGAACACCAACAGCTTGAACCCTCACCAAGCAGGCTTCCCAGGTCAAGACACCCAGGATGGTTTTCAAGAGACAAAACACACTGTCGCAATCTTTGTAGACCTCCAACAGGCGTACGACACAGTGTAGAGAAAAGGCCTACTCATGAAAATGATGAACCTCGAGATACACGCAAAACATTTTTAATAGATCGAGTTTTTCTACTGCATCGAAACATCGAAACCAAGGTGAACAATGCCCATTCATCAACAGAAGTAGTCGAGGAAGGCATACCCCAAGGTTCCTGTCTGTGTTGCACTTTGTTACTGGTCTTCTTCAATAATGTAACAAAGGTGCTGAATTCTGAAAAGACTCTCGACGCTGATGGTCTTGCTCTCTAGCAGACACATCACAGCACGATAGTAGGAGCAGGGAAATCAAATGAAGACCTCAAGAGGCCCCACAACTACTGACAGAAATGGAAGCTCAAAATAAACTGCACAAAAGCAATATACACCATCTTTACAAAGAGCCATAAAACACTCAAAGAAAAACTCCAACTGAAGATAGGAAATCTAAATCTCCCCAAAGAAGAGCAACCAGCATAACTAGGAGTCAAACTTGACCAAAGCCTAACAATGAAAAGCCAAGTGGAGCCAAAAGAAAACTCCAACTTTTAAAGAAACTCGTAAGCAGTTCATGGGGATCAGACAAATAAACTCTAAAAGCTCTATACTTTGGTTATGTCGATCTTCCTTGGGACACAACAAAAGCCAATTCACTACGTGCAGTACAACTACTTGACAAGATCCAAAAATAATGACCTTCGTTTCGTAAACGGTGGCAGGAGATCAACATCTACTGCCGCATGTGAAATTCTTTCAAAAGTTGAACCCCTGGGATTTCGCAGAGATAAAGCAGTTTTGGAGCTCCATGAAAGAACCAAAAAAATGTGCCTCAACCTCCCCAACAGAAAGTAAGTAGAAGCTTGGAACCAAAGAAACGACTTCAACAAAAATCCATCATGCATCACATTACAGAACTAATGGAGAGTCATCATCTACCACAAGACAGAAAAGAAATCAAAAGAGTCAACAAAAACATCCCCCCATATTTCTGGAAAATACCAATCATTACAACATCTCTCTGAGACAATAGCACAAAATCTTCAGACCCAGTGACGCTGATACTTGCATCATATCAAACAATCGATAGCTATTCAGATGACTGGATACACGTCTATGCAGACGGCTCAGCATTCAAAGGCACAACCAAAGCCGGATATGGAATATTAATCCAGTACCCAGATGGAAATTCCAATGAGGTTTCTGCAGCCTGTGGAGAGAAATGCAACAACTATGATGCAGAAATTATGGCAATTGAAACAGTACTATACCATCTCCACACAGTTTTTGATACTCATGCAAACAAAACGCAGATTATTATAATTTGACTGACTCACTATCAGTCTCGCAAGCGATAGAAAATGACCATCATCTAAAAGAAAACTTGACACATATACTGTTTGGCTCCCATCATCTAATAACATCCTGTGGCGTCAACCTGGTGATGCAGTGGATCCACGTACACTCAAACATACCTGGAAATGACAGAGCAGATATCAACCTCATACAAAACCACAAAACAAAGCATTAAAAGCAACAACAAACAAGATTGGAAGAACAGATGGGTCTTGGGAAAGACAGGAAGAGCAGTTTTTTAAACATAATTATTACCACCACAAAACGAAAAGACATTATCAACCACCTACAGAGAAAAAACAGACCGCGATCTTTCGCCTACGAACAGAACATATACAGCTCAACTTCCACTTGAACAGAATAAAACTAGAACTTCCCCCAATGT